CCATTTGGGGAAGAGGCAGTCTGATTTGGGAGTTTTGAGTTTGACGTGGCGATTTTATGGATTTATAAACTCTATAATTGTTATTCTGGATTAGTTTGTGTTTATGTGTTTACTCCAGCAATGCACTTCACAGATTAGTTAATAGCTTACTGTGAAGACACCTCTTGACTTTGTTGCATATGTGCTGCTGTGATGCATGTTCTGCCACATGTGATGTAGAAGGTGCTGATAGTATCGTAAACAATGCCTTTGGAAACACACTATCTAAATTACCCCAAGTTATGGTTTTCTTTTCTCTTCTGTTTGGAGAAGCATACGCGTTTTTGTACACATATTGCACAGATATGAACTGTGATGCCAGTATAGCCGCGATAAGCTGTGGATATCAGTCGGCTTCTATTTTGGGGAGCTGATGATTTATGATCCCAGCAGGAAGCAGTTTGTAATGTTCTTGAGATCTGGCAAAAACAAGAAATGTCAGTCCGTTTGGAGGGCTGTCGGGTTGTATTTAACTTGAACTGTGGTAGTATAGGATCTCCTATCATCACCAGCAACTACAGTTAGCCCTGCACTTTTATTAGTAGTTATTATTTTACCTGTTTGTAAGAAATATTTCACTTCATGTGTACTAGAAGACAGAATCCAACCACTCTTCTTTGCACAAGCATGTCCCAAAAAAAGACAGATGAAAGCAGATTTTTAATAGAGAACTAATGCACATCAGTCTGAAAAAATATTAAGCCGCTGTGAGTGTAATGGATGGCCTTCTTTTTCCTGATGTAGATATTTCAGGTGTCACTCAGTATTTTGGGTATTTTATTCCTTATTAGAGAGGAAATTAGTGGAAAGAAGAGACGTGGTGGACTGACACTTTGACATAGTCTGACTGTGGCTTAAATCCTTAATCCCGCCCCCTTTGATATCAGTTTGATTCATTGTTTAACATTTATTATTTGTTTACATTTGTTCTCTTCTGGGCAGTCTAACAAATCTACATTTGTGATTTTTAAAGGGGACCTGTAATGAGGTTTTTTTTGCAGATGTTCATATATGGCTGAAGTTTCCTGTTGTCAGATCAACATATGTCCAAGCAATCACTGTGAACCAAAGGGTCAGAGTTCAAAATATTCAAAAAGCTTGGTTTCAGGGGTTATTTTCTACTCTTGGCTATGAAGTAGAGTGGATTTCCATAAAATCCCTTAAACAGAGGAGTAAAAGGGGCTAAAACAGCGTATTTCAGACAATAGTTGAACACTGGAGCGACATCAAAGTCCGGTATGAGTTAATCAAGGCTTATTGGGATTGAATTATGCAAAGCTACCCTGAATCTGAAATTAAAAATACAAAGTTGGAAAAAAGTACAATGGGTTTCTTTTAAAACTGATTATATTAATAGAAATGTATTCATTTATTAGACAGAAAGCGTTTAAGTACCAAATTCCCACAAGTCCATTTTATGGAAGTTTGTTTTTGGGTTTATCTGAAAAGCTCAAGTTATGCATCTTGAAATTCAGAGTAATTAACTCAAGGTTGTAGTAAAATTTCAACATTAAAAAAAAAAATTTAAACAATCCAGTGGTGGTAACAAGCTTTCATATTTTCAGTCACCAGCAGTATTAAATGTTCTATTTCTTGTGATTTTGGCTCCACTCTCCATAAGCAACACAATGTTTTATGATTTTCCACTTTCACACACCCATAAAGGTACCATTACAGATCAGAAATCTGCATTTATGAATTTCAGAGACACAAAAAGTTACTTTTTTGTCTATTTTTCCAAGCGGTCTCTCCTGCATCTGGACTCTTTGGAGACCTTTCACCTTTCTGCCTCACTCTTCACCCTCAAACTTTCCCGTTCACCAACCCTTGTCCACGTCCATCCAACCCCCCCACCCCTGAGGTGAAACCTTACTCGTCGATAAATTTAGCAGCAGTGTGATCCAACGTTCACTGACACACTTCTCCCCAGTTCTCCCTCTGCCTCTCTCTCTGACGCTGTTTGCCTCTCTTTCGGGCCATCTCTCCCAGGAGGCTTGTTGAACAGACAGATGGAAGGCTTTAACCTTTACACAAAACAATAACAAGCTATTGACACTATTTAGCAATGTGACATTTCACCTTTATGCTATGGAAGTAACATCCAACTGTTTAATTATTACATTAGAACTACCCCTGTAATTGAAAAAACGTGTCCGCATTATCGTATGAAATTTAATGGCTTAATCGTCTACATTGCAGTCATTCCAGCCCACGGGACATTTGGCAGGTGAACGTTATCCCTTTTAGTAGCCTGTAACATTTGAGACTTATGGGATCTATTTCACTGCTGTTGACATTCTCACAGATTGAGACTCGTCTCCTCACACAACCTCGCTTTTAACCTCATCCATCACATCAACTGTTACACACA